CTAACCAACTGTTGTTTCTTTCATCAGAAGACGATATTGATGAGGTTGTTCAATTGGATTCTAGCTTGCTTTCAAAGTTGGTCTTTAGATAATCGTTCATTAAATTCAACGTGAAACTAGTTTATGAATGTTTCTGATTTTGGATATTTAACTGTTATTATCATTATTGTTTTTATGCGACTACACAAAGTTCAAAACTAATTGCTGAGTATTTCAGGCACAAATTTTTCAGCCTTTCTGCGAAATATAACGATTGTCATATTTATCTGATGAAGAAATGGATATTGGAAATTTTACAAAAAGATCGGTAAAATACCATTTCTGCTTCTTTTTATTTGGTTTTTGTTTTAGGTAAGGATTTAGCCCCTTCTAAATCATATTCTTCCTGTTCATATTATTCTAGGATACGGGGATTTCCATGAATAAGTATTGATTTTTGTAAATTAGAAAACTTGTCTTTGTTTTGTAATTGGACTAAGATTACATATAGTTAAGATATAAGATTTCGATTTTAGGTTTATTAGTTTCGAAGTACTTGGCTATACCTTTGAAAATTTCCTCGTATTTTTTAGACGCATACATGGGCAAGTATCTTTTAAGGCAAAAAATGGAGTTTTGAAAGATAATTTACAGCAGAGCACCTTTTTAGTTTGAACTGAGTAGCTTTAGTGGAGAACCTACTCTCAGTTCTAGAAGGTGTTGTGTTGAGTCGTTGAAAACGCGATCAGTGAGGTGTATGGTTGAACAGTGGTGCAAAAAAATGTTTTAAAGGACAGAGGATTTTGTCGCACAAGACCGAAAAAAAAAATCTTTTTGTTAAGGGAAAACGGTTTTTGTACACTTTTTCGAAATTTTCTGTTTGTATTTAAAAACCCCTGAGTTTTTAGTTCTCTTTTGTACTTTTTTTACAGAAAACTTTCACTTATAATTTTTTTTAATCGCCGTTTTTGAAATTTTGCTTTTTGAGAGTTGAGATTAGTAGTTTCGTTACAAAATTAAGTTTTAATTGGGCTTTGTTCAATGAATGTTCACTGAGGTATTTCGGAAGGCGGAAGTCGCTTTAGCATCACAAAGATTTTGTTTTATTAACAGAGGGAAGTTTGCATTTGCCAAATGAGGCTGAGTGGTGTATTAAAAAGTTTTTTCCCTGTTTAATTTTTTAGAGTGGGGAATGTAAGTTATCTGCGGTTTTAAAAAATCGAAATTACGGTAATGCTGAGTGGTCTAGTAAGTCTTTTACTATTCTTGCCGCAGAATTGCCTGATTAATTATGGGTCTGCAAAGAGTCCCCTTCAGATCATTGGGATGTCTTATGGCAAATAACACAGCTAAAGGAGTCAGGTTAATGGGCCTAAGGATTCTCTTCGTAGGTTCCACTATCCAGTCACTTT